TCACTACTAGTGTCTGGTCCATGAATTGCATATCAATATACATAGCTCATCCATTTAACATTAATGGACTGATTCATAGACTTTTCCCCAATTCAAGTGCGTGAATTTTTAACCATTTCATTGATTGACCCCTATGATATTTGTTTTAAATGTGACTGAATTAGCCATGAAATATGTCTTAAAATTCACAACATTTCCATAAGGATGTTATCCAATGAAAACTGCATGATAATTGCATGCAATTTCATGCATTATTGACATGAATGTACCCATGAATGTACCCTGTAAAATGTATGAATTTCATTTCATGGAAATCGATTGAGTTAGTCTATGAAAACGTATCATAATCGTAATTTATACCTTAAAAAGCCATGAAAAGTTACACACTTTTCATACTTAATTTTTAATGAATTTTACGTAATTATATCATTAATTTCATTTGAAATATGCATGGCTTTTACATTGAATTTTACAATGATTTTACAATGAATTTGTGTTCAATACATTGCTTTTAACTCCTGTATTGTTTTCGTCGTCAGTCTTTTGCTCTTTGTCAGTGTCACTGTTCTCCAACATTGTAACTCTGATGGGATAAAGGATAAAGTAAATATCAATTCATGCATACTACGATACGATATCGTACCTTGTTACTGTTACTCTCTGGCACCTTTTCAACAGGTGATGAACACACAATTAAGAGGTTATGTTTAGAGCTGACACTGATTGCATAAGATCACACCCACCTTAGTACTCATTAACCCTCGGCGAGCATGCGCAGCGAGGGTTACTGTTACTGTAGTTGGTTTGTCTGTCTGTCTGTGTGTGTGTCGACGCTTATTCTGGCTACGAAGCGGCCCATTAGCGATACCAGCGGCTTCAGAATTACACGAGCCTGAAAAATAAAAGGGCGATTCTCCTGAAACGACTGCGTTCGAGAGCGACAAACTGGCACCGTCCCGGACCGTGTTCCGTGGCCCCAACCCATCCATAAGCGGTGCGCATGCGTATATTAGACGCGGTATGCCGGCTCACCCCGATCCGACCTGATCCGCTTGCTCTGTGTACCTTGGAGGCACAAGAAACCACAGCGAAGGGCGTGTATCGACTCCCGCATGCTATCTACTACCGTAGCTAGCCGTGTCAGACTCTCCGCGAGCTACTAGCGGGGGAGACTGCAGGCACCCGTTAGCGTACCGCGCATGCCCAGTTCGCCGAGGACTTCAGTGCTTTTCATTTTTTTCTTTAGCTCTTCATCAAACAGCTTCTTATTTTCTTTTATTCTTTCTAGGCGGGCAACTTCATAGGCAGAGAGTCCAGCATTTTTATCAACAGAGGTGGGTCTAGTTATAGGATAGAGTACATATTGTTTTTATTACACTTATAACTTATAGTTTTACTTTTGCTTATCTTTATAAGGCTCTAGCCTAGCAGTCTTCCACTTGACCCTTCTGCATTGTACAGGCTCAAGTGTCACAGAAATTACACAGTTTATTACAGTCAGTTGGTCAAAAAAATGTCTTATAGCCAACTGGTTCAGGAAGCTCCACTTGATCATCGATGTTGTTACTCATTTTTAGGAGAATCCGTCCAAACATCTCAAATGATGCTGTGAGGAGATTACAGCTTTGGGTGCTTGTAAAATGCACATACATGTACCATCACTACTAGCTCCAAGATATACTACCTTTGCCAATTCTAACCATATCCTTAGACACCACCCACACAGAGCTCCTGTAGTATGCAAGTTGCGAACGCTCTAGCCCCTTTTATGGACGCAACTTGTCTCACCCAACTTCAAACTGTTCAGATTCATCACAGTCTTCAACAGGACTAGTGTCATCCATCAATTGCCTGAAATCGTGTGTGAAGTTAAGCTCTTGCATGGTTTTTGGCATAGCTACTGATCAGATCTAATTTCTGCTGCTGGAGTACTTTTGTCTTCACTACTAAAAATGTAAAGTAATACATGTATGTAGTATACATTTTATGAGCAGCATACATATCACTTTCATGATCAGCTTCATCAAGCTGCATCCTGCTCTCTTGTGCACTATATGCATAGAAAAGAGGAGTTGACCAAAAAAACAAATTGAAACAAGACATATGGGAGAAATTTGGCCTTTTTCCTAGTAACAAACGATCGCCTATTGATAAGGGTGGCTCCTAATCGTTGGCGAAGTACCGCACGAAGTGGCCTCAGATCAGGTCTTATAAGGAAAATCTTCAAAGACAAAGAAAAATTTGCTAAAGGTAACCAATTGTTTACAAAGTGTGACTTACACAATAAAAAAATTTCTGAAACTTATGTTGAGGGATGTCCCTCAGTAAGGGAGCTTCATCCCAAAGGTCGGCACTTTTGGCTGCCTCACGCAGAATTGCCTATATATAAGAGTCAAGAGTAAGCAATTTGCACGGGTGCTCCCTCTCTACACTATTATACTAGCTATATAGCTGGCTTGCCACTCGCCCACACAATGCTGCCAGCCTCCCACGCGAGCACGCTAACCTCAGCTTCTCCCACACACTCTAGCAGATCCGCCCCCCGCCGTAGGACCAAAACGTTAATTGGGCACAGTGCGATGAATGCCATGTTTGGTATCATAAGGAATGCATGCACACACTAGATGAAGTCTTCTCTTCTACTCACGAAGTTCAGTGGGTTTGCATTGATTTCTCCACAGCTACTTTTTGCCATGCAAGTGCTCGAGCAGTCAACTACGTACAATTAGCCTCGCAAAGCCATTTAGAAGGCATGGTTCTGCAAAGCGCCCCTGCGCGCGCATGCGCAGCGAGGGTTACATAAGCATGGATAAGTTGATTGCTTCTCTATCATGAAGCCAATCATGTTCATCACTCTTTGATGAATTTTTGCCATGCATGAAATTCAAGCAGCAGGACACTGAGATCAGCCAAAAACCTTTTACCTACATAGTAGCTAGCTACATGTATAACTATAACAAAGTAAAGTGACTAATGTCCTCTCTTCTCCAGTAGACAGACAATATCAGAGTGTCCTTTGAGTCTGGCAGCATCAATGGGTCTCCTTCCCTGAATTATGACAGATGGCTTTAGTTAGCTACCAGCAATAGTGATGATCAGTTGCCATCAATGATTACCTTGAATCCAGTTAGGTTCACATCTGCTCCATTTGCTAGCAGGATATTCACCACATCAATGTGTCCCTGTCGACATGCCATATATAGAGGAGTCGACCCAGTCTGTGAGAAAAACAGAAAGCCATGATTGTAAATTAGCAGTTTGCTAGGCCATTTCAGAAGCAGGAGATAGTATGTACTGTGTCACTGCCACCATTCTGTCTTAGCCTTGTTCCAAGGCTCGCCTCTCCATGCATAACTTGACCTTTGAACCCCCTCCAGTCATACATTAAAACTGTGTGCGGAGATGGAGAACCTGGGAACGAGGCTAATTTTGTCTAGTCATTTAGACTATGCCATATCAGGCAGAGGTGAAATGTATTGCTCCAGTACGTGAGACACTTAGCTACACCTTTCCTTACATCGAAGCAGTATGATTCTAGAAGACCCTAAACAGTAGATATCAACATCACTAGGAATGAGAGAGTTTGATATGAGATGTCTTTTCAAGGGAGCCTTAACCACTCCCCAGGAGAAGGCACACTGCAAAAACTAATGCTTCAATCATTGGTGTACTTCTATAATCTTGTCGGCAACCATACTCAGTGGTCTGGTTTGACTGACTGCACTGGACAGTAAACGAACTGAAGATTGTCATGCAGTGACTGATGATTGACTTACTTCTTAGCTCGATCCACACCAGCTCCATTTCCTCAGTAGGATATTCACCACTTCATGGTCCATTTGACTGGCAACAAAGAGAGGAGTCGCCCCATTCTATGGGGAAGAACAATAAACTGAATAGTTTGGCTAGATCAAACCACACCGTGCAACTCGAAGAAGGTGGCTACCTGAAAAATTAAAACCCTTTGGACTAGCGCCAAGTACTATAACCCCCATCTGGACACATTAATGTGTCCGTGGCTGGTTTTAATTATTATGTGTTTAGGGAAACAAACCTCGTCTCAGGATCTCCCTTCACATAATAAAACTCGTTCAATGCATGCATGTTACCATTGACCACTGGTAGTGAAAAGATGCCAACTGGTAAAAGATAAACACAACCTTCATGATGAAGAAGCAGCATGTTTGATCATGTTTTCAGACACGAAACTCAGGGTACCCAGGACCACTGGTCTTGGCAGGACAACCTTCAGTTCTTTTTTGCCTCCGATTAATATTAAAGGAGTATAGGGCAACAGTTGTCGAAGGGTGATGTAAAGTCAGATGCAGGAGATAGTATGTACTGTGTCACTGCCAACATTCTGTCTTAGCCTTGTTCCCAGGCTCTCCTCTCCATGCACAAATTCACCTTTGAACCCCCTCCAGTCATACATTATAACTGTGTGCGGAGATGGAGAACCTGGGAACAAGGCTAATTTTGTCTAGTCATTTAGACTATGCCATATCAGGCAGAGGTGAATGTATTGCTCCAGTACGTGAGACACTTAGCTACACCTTTCCTTACATCGAAGCAGTATGATTCTAGAAGACCCTAAACAGTAGATATCAACATCAGTAGGAATGAGAGAGTTTGATATGAGATGTCTTTTCAAGGGAGCCTTAACCACTCCCCAGGAGAAGGCACACTGCAAAAACTAATGCTTCAATCATTGGTGTACTTCTATAATCTTGTCGGCAACCATACTCAGTGGTCTGTGTTTGACTGACTGCACTGGTACAGTAAACGACTGAAGATTGTCATGCAGTGACTGATGATTGACTTACTTTCTTAGCTCTATCCACACCAGCTCCATTCCTCAGTAGGATATTCACCACTTCACTGTGTCCATTTTGACTGGCAACAAAGAGAGGAGTCGCCCCATTCTATGGGGAAGAACAATAAACTGAATAGTTTGGCTAGATCAAACCACACCGTGCAACTCGAGAAGGTGGGCTACCTGAAAAATTAAAACCCTTTGGACTAGCGCCAAGTACTATAACCCCCATCTGAACACATTTATGTGTCCGTGGCTTGTTTTAATTATGTGTTTCAGGAAACAAACCTTGTCTCCAGGATCTCCCTTCACATAATAATACTCGTTCAATGCATGCATGTTACCTTTGACCGCTGGCAGTGAAAAGATGCCAAGGTAAAAGATAAACTATACACCTTTCATGATGAAGAAGCATGTTTGATCATGTTTTCAGACATGAAACTCAGGGTACCAGGGGCCACTGGTCTTGGCAGTACAAACCTTCAGTTCTTTTTTGCCTCAGATTAATATAAAAAGAGTATAGGGCAACAGTTGTAGTTCATTTGAAGGGTGATGTAAAGTCAGATGCAGGAGATAGTATGTACTGTGTCACTGCCACCATTCTGTCTTACCCTTGTTCCCAGGCTCTCCTCTCCATGCACAATTTGACCTTAGAACCCCTTCTATACTCATACATTAAAACTGTGTGCGGAGATGGAGAACATGCAAGGCTAATTTTGTCTAGTCATTTAGACTATGCCATGGAAGGCAGAGGTGAATGTATTGCTCCAGTACGTGAGACACTTAGCTACACCTTTCCTTACATTGAAGCAGTATGATTCTAGAAGTCCCTAAACAGTAGATATCAACATCACTAGGAATGAGAGAGTAATATGAGATGTGTTTTCAAGGGAACCTTAACCACTCCCCAGGAGAAGGCACACTCTGCAAAAACTAATGCTTCAATCTTTGGTGAGGGTTACAGTACTTGGTCCATATGCCATCTATAACCTTGTTGGCAACCATACTCAGTGGTCTGTGTTTGGGACTGAAGAAGGGTGGTAGAATATTATGTCCCAAAAAATGAGAGAGGATGGGTAGGACAACTAACAGTAAAGTTAGATGTGACTGACTGCACTGGTACAGTAAACGACTGAAGATTGTCATGCAGTGACTGATGATTGACTTACGTTCATAGCTCTATCCACACCAGCTCCATTCCTCAGTAGGATATTCACCACTTCACTGTGTCCATTTTGACTGGCATGTAGAGAGGAGTCGTCCCATCCTATGGGGAAGAATAATAAACTGAATAGATTAAACCACACTGTGCAACTCAAAGAAGGTTGGCTACTGGAAAATTAAGTTACCCTTTGGATGCTATGGGTACAAGTAAGTAAAAAATTAAAGTACAGGGATGCCATAAAAAGTAAGGAGACAAGACAGGGATGACCTAGTGAAGTAGTACAATGGATGATGGCTAGATACTTTGAACTGACATCGCTTGCTCATGTAAAATTTCCTCCACACAAGCCCTATATTGTCGCCACCTTTACTGTTTGTTTAGTGAAGTGCGAGGACAATGGTGAAAGGATTCTGTATGTAGATGGCCAAGAGCGCAGCATTGTAAAACTGGATAGTGGAGCAAATGTAGACTTGTTAGACTTCACACAATGCAGTCACAACTGATAACCGAGTAGATTGTGTTACCTGTCTAATGGCTTACGAAATAAATCATAGATGTGCATCATACAAGGGAGCACACTCGTACCTCGGGACAATATAGGGCTTGTGTGGAGGAAATTTTACATGAGCAAGCGATGTCAGTTAAAAGTATGTAGCCATCATCCATTGTACTGTACTGCATCGTTCACTAGGTCATCCCTGTCTTGTCTCCTTGTATTCCAAACTTTTTTATTTGAATAATTTTTTATTTCCTTTCCTTTTTTTACTGCATTCACATGCAATAAAGGGGATAATTTGAGAAAAACAGTAACATTAGTGGCCTTAAGCTATCAACTCAGATGTTTTGTCGTCATTCACATTACATCAGTGCACCAAGTTTCATTGTGAGAGGACCCATCATAAGCAAGTTATAGGCACTGACACCATTTAAACGTCTTTTTTGCCTGAGGCTGTTTGTTGTTGTTACAACCTTGTAATTTCTGTTTCTCTTTATCATGTTGAATCGGTGTACAAGGCTAATTTTGTCTAGTCATTTAGACTATGCCATGTCAGGCAGAGGTGAATGTATTGCTCCAGTACGTGAGACACTTAGCTACACCTTTCCTTACATCGAAGCAGTATGATTCTATAAGTCCCTAAACAGTAGATATCAACATCACTAGGAATGAGAGAGTTGAGATGTATTTTCAAGGGAACCTTAACCACTCCCCAGGAGAAGGCACACTCTGGCAATGAAGAGAGGAGTCACCCCAGTCTGTATGAATTATTGTGGATAATCAGAACAGATAGTTCGAATTTAATAGAAGAGAGAGGAAGACTAATATCCAGATGAGGGAGAGAATTCCATAGTCGAGATATACAACTGAAGTAAAATATTTTTTTAATTGTAGTTCCTGGATATATACTGTGTGCTTAAAATTGGAGCTTGATCGAGTTGATGAGCACTGAACTGCACAAAATCAAAGATGTTAAAGTGGTCCGATGGGTACGTTACAGACTACAAGTGAAATGTACAAGGAACACTTGGCAGATTCCGCCATAGAACTAGAGAATACTCTGCATAAGAGACCAAGCATTTTGTAAGCCCAAGATGTTATTAACTGGTAGTGGGGGGGGCGCCAGTTCAAATCAGCTGATACAAATAGACGAAGATCTTTCTGTTGAGGTTTGGAAAAAAAATTGTTTTCCATTCAAACTATAATTAAATATTAGAGGTGGGAGTCTAGTAAAATAGACAGCAGAACACTTTTCCTCATTCAGTGACATGCTCCAGGTGGTACACCACTCAGACAGCATTGTAAGATCATTCTGGAGTAGTGTGCAATCACGCCAGGAAGAAATAGGCATCACACACTTTGCATCATCCGCGAAGAGTAACATCATAGATTTTTCGAGAACATCTGGCAGATCAAAAGATGAGAAAGAGCAATGGACCAAGTATACTACCTTGCAGAACGCCAGAGATAACAGGTAAAGTACTTGACACAGATTGGCCAACGGAGACACACTGATGATGATTGGTCAGAAAAGCCTTTATCCAGGACCAGAGACTGTCAGTGATGCCGAAATTCCATAGTTTGTAGAGGAATTATTTTTGCGCCACTGAATCAAAGGCCTTTCTAAAGCCTAGAACGTCCGTTTGAAAACTAGAGCCAGTTAGCATGTTGATATTGCAGGTGATTTGGTCCTCTGGTGAGATTCAATTAGTTTATTTTCAAAAGTAGTTTTAGCTAAGACAAGTTTGCTCTGGAGAATAGATTCCATACTGGATTTTGCTTTGTCCATGATGAACAGATGGTTTAGATCTGTGCTTCCTTTTCAATGTTCTCAGGCACTTCAAATGATGGCGAATATCGGAGTCAAACCACATTGGATTTTGGTGTCGCTTAACCAGAACCTTAGGAACGTACAATGACATTGCTTGATAAATAGAAGACTTGATCAAAAACCAAATATACTCAATGTCAGAACTGTCATATAAAATACTAAAATCGGAATCTAACAAAAAGAGGTAGTACCGTCATAGTCAGCTTTACAAAAATTAAACACATAACCAGATTTTGATTCAACTACAGATGTGGCATTACAAAACAGGTCAAAAGTAATGGTGAAGTGATCTGAAGAACTGAGTGAAGATAGGGGATGAATAGTTAAATAATTTGTGACAGAAACACATGGAGATGTTATATAGAACAAGATATCAAGTAGCTACATTGCCCTTTTCATGAGTAGGTTCAAATATTATGCTGTGTAATATAAACAAGTAGATGAATTAGAGGTACCCATTATTGCAAACCAATCTATGTCAGGGAAATTAAAGTCACCTACAAAAGTACACTTACTGAAGAATGAGACAAGATCTGAAAGAAAAAGAACGTGATGAGACACATGAGAAAGAGGAGAGTCAGGAGGTACATAAATACAGCAAATAACATGACCGCTGCTTTGACCTATTTTGACAGATACAATTTCAAGATCAGACGGGGAGCAAAATGAGGAATTATACTAACACACCTCCACCACGTGAAGGCCTATCCTTACAATATATAACATAACCAGACGGAAGAATTTCCCCATTAGAAATGAAATCAGAGAGCCAGGTTTCTGTTATGCAAATGATACAAAAATTAGAAGCGTACACAAAGGATTGAAACTTAGACAGCTTATTTACAATACTACGCACATTCAGTAAACAGACAGAGTGACAGTGAGTAGGTAGTCAGGATTGAGGGGGATTAGTGTTAGAAGGTGCAGCATGGGTAGCTAGGTGTCAACACTACCGGATGATGTAACTTGAAGACATGTGTTATTCACAGGTGGTGTTGTAAGCTTGTCAGACAGTGAGGTGTTTTGAACAGGAATATCAGACTGGTTGTCATCCTGAACTGTAACCAAACTTTTGCTAGGGCTGCCAGGCTGACTTGAAGGAAGGGGGGCAGAAGCTGAGGTAGTATGCCCAAATTTGGAGTTTAAGACACGGCCATGCAATTTTTGGATGCTATGGGCGTCTTCTTAAATAAGCAAACTTTTATGTATAAAGTATAGCGCCTAGTACTATAACTCCCATATAATTTTTTTATGGATGCTCTGGACACATTTATGACAATGTGTCCGTGGCTGGAAACAAACCTTGTCTCCAGGATCTCCTATCACATTATAATACTCGTTCAATGCATGTTTGACCATTGGCAGTGAAAAGATGCCAAGGTAAATGATAAACTATGCAACTTTCATGATGAAGAAGCATGTTTGATCATGTTTTCAGACACAAAACTCAGGGTAGCTACCCAGGGCCACTGGTCTTGGCAGTACAACCTTCAGTTCTTTTGGCCTCAGATTAATACTGTAGGAGCATAGGGCAACAGTTTTGTACCATTTTGGTGGGTGTTTCATTAGAAGGGTAGTTAAGTAACTAGTCCTGAAGTTGTAACCATGCAATGTTAATAGTCGACCCTTACGTACATCACGAGGCAGGTTGACATTAGCTCCATTCCTTATCAGGATCTCCACTACATCACTGTGTCCATTCTGACAGGCCATGAAGAGAGGAGTTGCCCCACTCTGTGGCAGAGGATAAAAAATATAGTAATTCAGTTTAGTTTACTTATGAGATAGAACGTTTATATGTGAAAGCAAGTCTCTACTCATTAGACAGTAGACATATACAAAATGCGAAAGGCTGGCACATTCTCAGGTAAACAGAGTGCATTGTGACAACTCTCTCTTTGACCAGTCACAAACAACTCTACAGAATTTCATTCTAGACCAAAGAGGAAGATCAGAGATGAAAATGTATGGATTTGTGTGATATGGACATTTTGTGATGCAGACAGTAGGTGGCCAGAAGTAGATTTAGATATTGCCAGTGCCTTTGGTATGCAGATGTATCGTGCTACAGCAAAAATCACAAACCAATACTCTCTGCATTACTGAGGGCTAAAATGGCACATACTGTTCTCTGTATGTCCAGCTGTGCCCCAGCCTCAGTCAGTAGTCTCACTACATCAGCTTTGCCTTCTTGAGCTGCCATGTGAAGAGCTGTGGCACCTAACTGTAGATATGACAGAGGAGAGATATTTTGCTACAGAGGTGAACGACATCAACCAGGTGTAGCTATACACAGCCCAATGTATAGGAGTTCCAACCGGAAAAAACATTCTGTGATTGCTATAGTCATCACAGCATACTTCCACAAAGTGCAAAAATGTGCCAGGTTTACGTCGTGATTGAGAGAGGGACCAGTCTCTCTCTCCTCACACTGTTTACAATGGATGTATAATTGCATTTGATGTGCCCTTGTCTCAGTGAGTGAGCTACATTATTGTGTGTTTCCGTACTCAAATATGGTCATGAAAAGCACTAAAGTGCAAACCCTCGACGAAGTAGCTCGCAGAGAGTCTGACACGGGCTAGCTACTGTAGTAGATAGCACGCAAGAGTCGATACACGCCATTCGTTGTGACTTCTTGTGCCTTCAAGATACACCGAGCAAGCGGACCTGGTCGAGGTAAGCCTGTGCTAAATATAAGCGCATGCGCATTATCCGCCAGCGATAAAATGGCCATTAGCCGTACAATGGTGGAAGCGCTCTAGCTCTGCAATGGAGCATTTTCAAAGAAAACCCCACATATTTTCTGACCTTCGTCGCCCGTTGGGTAGATGGTATCGTTTCTGGGATGAACATTCGAGAGGTGAGATGTAGAGTAACAGACACACACACACACACACAGACAAACTCAACTACAGTACCCTCGCTGCGCATGCACGCCGAGGTTAATAAGTATCTATACCTCCTTTCCCCGTATGTTGAGCTGGGCCTTAGCCTCAATCAGTAGTCTCACAATTTCAACATGTCCATCAAATGATGCTGTCATCAGTGGAGTCCAGCCATTCTGTGAGATGGTGAAACAGATTGGACATCTGATGGAACACAGTCACACTGTACCTACAGGATATGGTGTACAGTTGATGTTGACATTAGAGGCCAGAAGTCTTGTCACTGCAGACACATCTCCACCATGAGCAGCATCATACAGAGCTTTCTCATCCTGCAGACATCATAACAGTACATGAATCACATCAATACTTGTGAGAAAATCCTGAACCATTGATAGTGTACCTACAAAAAGATGGCTAGGTTGTGATGCATTGTGATAATACAACTTTGTGATTAAACCCTCTATATACTTGCCTTGGGCCTAGAGACAGTCATTGCTTCCCTCCCTCGCTGAACTGGTGGTTTGTGTGACGTCTGCAGTTGACTTCTCAACTCCGCTATCTCCCTCTGTTTTTGTGATGCCAGATGATCCTTCTCAGTGGTCAACTGCCTCATCTGCTCCTGGAGACGAGCAATCTCTGCCTCCTTCTCCTCCTCCTTCAGTCGTAGCTGCTGCTCCAGTCTCCTCCCCTGGTCCTCTGCCTCACTGGCTGTGTAGGCCTCAGCCGTCTTCAGCTGCCCCAGACTCTGGCAGAGCTGGGCAGCACTGGGTCTGTCTCTAGGTCTGTCCTTGAGGCAGTGGAGGGCAGTGGGCAGGAGACCATGGTCGGGAGGAACCTTCCCTATGTCTCTCTGACGTCGCTGTAGTTCAGGAACGAGTGTGACTCTTTGCCCGGTTGGCTCTGAGTCATCCTCCACCACTATCTCAGCATCTGTGGGTGTGGGGAAGCAGCGAGTGATGATCTGAACCGTCACAACACCCAGAGAGAAGGTGTCCAGCTTGTCGGAGTAGCGAGGCTTGGCACGCAGGGCCTCTGGAGGCATGAAGACAGGTGTGCCGGGGCACTGGGTGATCTTACTGCGAGTCATGCGAGGATTGGCCTCCACCATCTTGGACATGCCAAAGTCGGTCACTTTGGCCTGACTGCCTCCTCCCCTCAGGAGGATGTTGTTGCTGGAGAGGTCGCGGTGGATGATGCTATTGCCGTGCAGGTAGGCCAAGGCCAGAGCAATGTCGTGGGTGATGTTGACCTGGACGTGGTACGGGAGGGAGGTCGTGGCTCTCTCAAGGAACCCGGTCAGGCTCTCGTCCATCAGCTCCATCAGGAGAATGGGTCTGCGGTTGCTCGGGTCCTGGACCACACCGAGGAACTGGACGATGCAGGGATGCTTCAGAGATCGCAGGATGTCGCACTCCTGGTCGAAACGAGCGGCAAAGTCCACAGCCCCTGGGTCGTCGTCTCGGAAGAAGATGGTGTGAAGGATCTTGGCGGCACAGGGGAGGTGGTCCAGAGTGGCCTTGACCACACTCCCATAGGAACCTGTCCCCAGGACCTTGGATGTGTGTACGTGGACATTCTGGTAGCCAAACTGACCACCAAGGTGTACATGGACATCTGCTGACGTAGTCATTATGGCTGTATAAAGGCGGACCTGGTAATAAGGGATTTTGAGACTGATAATTGAATTTTCCATTATCTGTTCACGGAGGCAAAATCAGTTTCAGGGGTAAATGGTTGTGCTCTACCTCAAATACCTATAGTATTCAACAATTATTCTGATATTTACTACGACTCAAGGGTGTAGGTGCTGTGGGGGCTTGGGGGGCTGAAGCCCCCCAGTTTACTGCCCCCAGACGGTTTTAGTTACAGGCGCACGCTGGCGCGCAACTTGAGCGCGCGGCGGAAAACCGAGCGATGGTGTGCACCTCTATACACGAAGTGATGCCATACTTTATGGCGCTGGAGTTCGCTCGAAAGACACTCTCCTGCTTCCGGTCCCACAGACCGATGAGCTAGCCTTCAGTCACAATAAAAGCGACATTACAAATGACTATGATTCTGAGCGTGCGCATCGCAATAAAGCTCAAGCCTCCCCATGTTTTGATTTGTGTCTACGCCCCTGCCACTAAGGACGGCTGCAAACAGTTTGTGACAGATAATTATTGATCAGTTGATTTAAGGATGTATAATAATAAGGACATACACTACTAAATGCTTCAGTGTATACTGCATGCCTCACAAAGTGTAAGATCAGCAGTGGCGGATCTAGAACTCTAGAATGGGTGGTGGTTCCAATGACATAGGTGCGCAAAGCGCGCCTAAAAATATTTAGCAGCGACGCCCACTTTCGGATGCCTCGCGTGCTACATTTTTGAAGCATTGTGAAACATTCCATGAGCTCTTCTTCATCCTACGGAGTATGCAGGTACTGAAATTGCATCGCCGGTTTTGTAACACTTGTGACTGAAAGGGGGGTTCCATTGTACCCCATGCCCCTAGATCTGCCACTGATCAGATTCAGCTAATGCAGAACGAACCGCGAATTTACTTCCTACATCAAATTCATGCAAAGGAGACGAAAGAGGTTAGGAATTCACTGAAAATTATATCAACTGCGTGGATCGATGGAAGGGTGGGGATTTACGGTGAAGATGTAAAAGAAGGTGAGTGTCCCTTTTTAAAAGGGAGGGATTTTCGCAGCCGGAGGGATTTTCATCCACCAATTGGGTCTGCTCTCATGATAGATAAATGACAGCACAGTCATAATCATTGAATTGAATTTAGCATGTGTGGAATTTAGTTATTGCCGCGTTTGGTTATAGGATGACCGCAATAATGTAAAAACCCTAATCTAAAAGGGGTTTTTATTCTATTAGAGAAATCCGCATCACCTAAAGTGCCCACCGTTTATGACATCAGGGAAGGCTGGCTTCGCTGGTAGCTAAATAACGGAATGATAGTATGAGGTAGGCAAAGGGACTCCAGAGTTTTGACTGCCACCGGCCGGGCTTCGCAACAAAAATGGGTGTGGTCCGCCGGCAGGTCAGTGGACACACGCAAATCCCTGATGCGCATACCCCGAGGACCCACGTTCTGTGTTAGCTATGCAGCCCAGTAATATTCTTACCTTGTAGATATATCTTCAGTCGACAGTAATTCTGTCGGTGTTAGCCACGACCAAGTAAGAGTCTCCCCCTAGCGCAGTCAGTGTCCAAAGAGTATTCATGATAATTCTTCCTTTCCCACCCACTTCTTCCTAATTTGGCTATAATATTATAGCGGCAGACGTTGCCTCTATCACTGATGAGAATTTGCCAAATTACAGGAAGTTAGTGATTGAGGGAGATAATGTCCACCAGGGAGATAAATAAAACAATTATGATGATCAAATGACAATTTCTTTCAAGTGATATTCATCTCTGAGTAACTTCACAGTCTGCTGGTAATGTCTGGAAAAGAGAAACGAATAATTAGTGTCCACTAGTGTCCACTACAAGAAGATGAACTAACAATTCAAAGGACATGGATAGTTTATCAATTATACACTGCTAAACAGAGAACACTCCCAGTATATAGCTGTGTACAAATGTGTGTATAAAGGTTCCGACACACATTCCAGGTCTGATGATGGAGAATGATCCGGTGTGACTGAGGTCCACTACAGTAGAGCCCAGTCTACTGGCCTCCTCTTCTCCCCCTCTTCCTCCATGAGAGATGACTCCTCCATCCACCACCACATCCAGGAACGACCACAGCTCTCGGAACTCCTGAGAAAATGATATAATATCACCAAGTCAGGTAATAACTGTAGCTCTATCAGGGTGAAAATGAGAGATGTACAAAAGATTCTAATGGACAAGCAATCATAAGTGCACACAGGTATAATTATGGGTTCAGAATGTGGCAGTATAATTATGTGGGCTAAATATAGAAATATGTTACTAAAGATCGAACAAAACAAAAGGAGTACAGTTAAGGAATCCAATTGAGTCACGTTTTTAGTAAAATTTCTAAATTTAACCCCTCTATACTGCCACATTCCCTCTAAAGCTCATGCTCCTCACAATGTTGGAGGTCTTGTAGGTGTCTGAATTGCCAAAAAGTTAGTCTAGCTCTGATGTCATATCAATCACCAGGGAAGACAACAGTGAACTTAGGAAAAGTCTACAGTGCTGTTAAAGGAAACGTGGCAGCTTAAGGGCCAAATTTAGAATAGGGCCCTAATGCAAGAATGTGAGCAACATCTTCTTAGCCCCTATAATATAGTGCCACATTGTCATAAACACAATGTAAGTATTAATGCTGACCTGTACAGAGAGAGTGCTGGAGGAGTGACTGAGGTTGGCACTGGTGAGGGCCAGAGGACAGCCACACTGCTCCACCAGACAGCGGACAAAGGAGGAGTCTGGGATCCTGAGTCCCACCAGAAGGAGTCCCGGGTTGAGGGCAGGGTTCAGGTCTCCTCCTCTCTCAAAGACTGTGGTGACTGGCCCGGGGAGGAGACGGGACAGGAGACTAGACGGAACTGTCACTTTGGCCCACCTGGTGCAAGGAATAATAGCAGTTGAAGCTGCTTCAAAGACAGTGAGCGAAATCAGGCAACCTATACATATAGCTGTCTGAATTTCGTGATTATTTGATGACGTCCAGACAGTAATGATTTAGGTGATGCATAAAACCACTGCAATTTGAAACTGGCATTTCCTTGCTTCGAAGAGAAGTTGGAACTAGTAAAAATTAAGGAGTCTACTTCAATTGAAGGAAGTTCCACTCTACTCAACACAGAACACAACATGCCACATAACTCACCTACAAACCTGCTCAACCTCACTGACACAGATTGCCAGGGGCTTGTCTCTCAGTCTCCCCTTCATCTCGTATATCCTCTCTATCCCCTCGTTACTTGAAACTAACGAGGCCATGCCGTAGATTGTATCAGTCGGTATGGCAACGACTCCACCTCCTCTCAGAGCAGCAGATGTCTCTTGCAACACTTCTTCTAGAGTTTTCTGTGGCAAGAACAAAGTCACACTCACATAAATTTACAACAACTACTAATCTAGTATCACGCAAACAAGCAGCAAAATGGATACATTGAGTAAGGATACTATCCTGACCTCTAGCTACACTTATGTAGTCTAGAAGTTGTGTGTACCAGAGATCTCACCTGGTCCACATTCTCAATACTGAGGACCCGAGCCATACCGAGTGACGAGCTGCCCGCTACTCTTGGGAGACCTCCGAGTCTTCTGAGACCAACCAGTCCACCACTACATGACGCAAGGAGCAGGCGCATCAGAAGGACTTGAGCTTCTGCAGAGTATAAACAAAATACCGCACGCGCGGCGGCGCACGCACACATTAAATTCAGTGCGCATGGGGTTAATTCTTAGTGTTTGGTTGCTAAGCGACGTTGCCATAGAAAGCAGCCTGAGGCAGGTGAGCATGAAGAAGAGAGAGAAGTCACCGTGTCAAGTGGAGTTCTCCGAGGAGAGAGTTGAACTGGTGAACGACGGCTGCCAGCAACAGAGGCACACCTACCAGCTGCAGAACCGCGGCCCAGGTTCCGTGAGGGTACGGGCGGCCATCGGAGCCGACAGCGACCATGTGAGTACACCTTCTCCCAGGCTCCATAACACGGCCTTCAGACGAAATAATGCCAATACATTTATCAGTTATGACTTTGACTCGCCGCCAGAAACTTGCACGCGTTGCCTAAGAGCCTTTGGCTACTCCGATTGGAAAGCCATTCTTAGCTACAAACCTGTTCTCCGTGTGGTGTCCTGCAGGTGTTTGTTCTGCTGAGTAGCGGCGAGGAGAAGTACGTGGCTCCAGGTCTGAAGCTGCCCGTGGTCCTCCAGTACTCTCCTAAGGGAGATGATGAGGCCTGCCACCATTGTGGCAGTCTGGAGGTGTTTGTCAACTCCAGTCTCTCTCTCACCATTCCCATCTCTGCGTTAGTTCACCTTATGCTGCATTATTCCATGTTGTACATATCACACTCAGAAATATTTATGAGTCTTTCTGCATGAGTTGACCATATACATGCTGTCTGAAATTTGCAATGTTTATGAGTCTGAAAGTGCTCATTGATAGAGTGTTATTCAGAATACTTTTTACTTGAAAAATGTGTTGTCCTTGATTTCTTCAAAAAGCACTGTAGACTACTATTTTTGTAGTTGCTTCCAATTGACCTTTGTTTAGTAAACTGATTTTATGAACGAAATAACCCAACTGTGTGTCTGCATTCCTCGCGAACCCTGCCCCGTGTGTCCTGCAGTGTTCCTCGGAGTCCCAGACTCCACCTGAGTGAGGAGGTGGTGGACGTGGGGTGTCTGGTGACAGAGAACCAGATCCACACCACCTCCTTCTCCCTCTCCAACCTCGGGACTCGCGAGGGAGCCTTCTTCATCGACACCTCTCCTCTCCCTGGCTGTATATCCCTCCAGCCCACCACTGGCCACCTACTGCCTCTACAGTCCACTAGAATACAGGTATGTATGCTACTGCATGTACAGTACTGTACATACGTACGTAGTTCACTATGCTTTATAAAAGGATGAAAGTAAGGCTCCAGAGGTCTTCAAACTAAAACAGTTGACCAAGAGATGAAAATTTTTTCTAGGCTTGTTGTAGTATGAGCATCTGCATGTGTGTTGTATCACTGCTGTACTGTGCACTGTTACATACATGTTCCATGGATTTATTTTTGTGTAGTTGGAGATTTTGTGCAAGGAAGAAATTGAATTTTCCTATGCTCTCAGGTTTGTATTCACAACTCCATCTTCCATTCTACACAAAAGTATTAAATAGTTATGTGCCTTCATATGCAAATTCTTACTGGGAGCAATCCTAATGGATAGAGATGTACAGTTCAACTTCACTTGTGTACCATCAATGTACCCTCCCCCTCAGAATCAGTACGTCAGCTCCACCCACTGCTGTTGACACTCCAGCTGCTAATACTGGTGGTGAGGGTGAGGAAGAGGAGAAGGCAGCTCCCTCTCTCCTCCTGACAGTGTGTGGGAGACTGGAGTCCAGAGCTCTCAGAGTCCTGGACCCTCTCTCCCTCTCCTCCCTCCCCTCCCTCTCCTTCCCACCCACCTACTATGACACAACTACCTCCAGGTTCTGTTTGTGGCAGTCTAATAAACACATTTTTGGCTAGTGAAGCGTCCGTCACATTAGAGTTTCTGTATTCAGAACAATAGGTACATACGTAGACTCCCTTCGCTTGGCAATTACACAATTGGGCCCTGTGCAGAGAGCATATGATGGGTAACCGAGAAATTTAATACTTTGGCGTACAGCTTTCTGTTAAATATGTAGCAAGTATTACTGTTTGCTAATGATGTAATAGCTGTGAAGCAATTGCTGAACTTTCTAAGGAGAGGGATGTACAATAAAAGTTGTCTCCCACTCACTCCAGACAAGTTATTCTGTTCAACGAGAGTCCAGTGTCCACTGACTACCTGTGTCTCCTGGACAAGAGAGCCCGAGGGAGTGGGGTGGGCGGGGCAGAGGGTGTGGCCATGGCCCTCACGGAGGGAGGTCCCGGCCAGGAGAGGTGGAGGGAACAGGGCTCCACTCCTCCTCACGAGTCTATCATATCTGTCCTTCCTTCTCAGGTACACCTAACATACACATTATATTGTATGTATTGTATGGGCCAGTGAAACGAACCTACATACTTACTAGTGTACATACACATGCACTACGTACCTGTACCTGTATGTGTAGACCATACTGTAATGTTTTTGCTACGTACATGCATAAGTTTGTGTAAAATCGATTCTGTACTCACATTTTACCTTTTATAGCATGTACATGTATTGTGAGCCCACTCCCTCCCTTTGCTGTTGAATGGCAAAAAGTCACATCTGAAGTGACTCTATAACAATGTTGGCAATTATAGTGTTAATAGTCTTCCCTACTCACAGGGTACTCTGCTGCCTTATGAGAAGAGGAAATTGGAGCTGACCTTTGCTCCCAGGTTCGTTTCCTCTGACAGTGGGTGGAGCCACTTCCAGGCCACACCCACCAGACGTGACTACACACTCTACCTTCGCTTCCTTGCCGTTGACACCAACAGAGAGTCAACAGGTACATGTACACCACATTCTGCCTAATTTTGCTTCGTATTGTAAAAGCCATAATGCTCAGTGATTTTTTGCCTATAATGGCAATATTCTGTTTGCTTTGCTTTGCTGAGACCTGATTGATGTTGAAGCTCTTTTAGGTGTACATACTCTTGTTGATGATTTCTCCACTCCAGCCTCTGGAGGTGACCTTGAGGTGGCAGTGTGTGCAACTGCTCTACCAGTGGACGTACAGCTGGAGCCCAGCCCTCCATTACAGTTTGGAGCCACTCCCACCATGTCCCCCATCACCCAGCATGTCAAGGTCTACTTACATCTCTTTTCAGTCTCCCAGCTGGAAAAGAAACACTGCTTGTCACTACCATAGTACACTTGGTGATGTCCTGTACACCGTTAATTTATCACTAATGCTAGCAACAGAGATGTGCGGGACATGTGGCTTTCTGTGCCGCAAGACCATTTCTATCTCTGCATTACCACACTACACAACATGGCCTGTAGGGGCAATGCGACATACCAGCTTTTTACATACAGTCATAATTATGTTACACTAGGACAGCAGGATGTGTATTTCCATAGGTCCACAACAAGTCAGACACACTCCCTCTCTACTTCACCACTCACCGTGTCCCTCACTACACTTGTCACCCTCCCTCCGGGCACATCCCACCCTCACACACCCTCTCCCTCTCCCTCACCTTCACTCCAAAGCAGCTCGGACCACTCAATGCCAGACTACTCATCGACATTCTGACCTCAGACTCCAGAGTATGTATGACATGCACATTACTATTATAACACACATAGTCTGCAGTACGAGTAGTTCAGAGTGTTAGGCGGCCGCTAGCATTGTTTATGTATTTAGTCTTCTGATGTGTACATGACACTTCCTTATACAACTTGGTGTATATCCCACAGCAGAACAAAAAACTTCCTTGTGTCTGTATTCCTGCTTTTATCTCCCTACTACTTTTTGGTTGTGTTTCCAAAGCGCAGTTTGTATGTTTTGTGACCTGCACTGTCTTTTTGCGATGCTGTTTGCATGTGAATTGTTGTATGCTCTGCTGACCCTTTCTTGAAGAGTGAGTAAGAGAGAGGAGGATAGTGAAGACACTGTGGTGGATCTGAGAGGAGATAGGAGTGTAGTCCAGGCGCCTTGAAGAGGGGACGAGGAGTGGAGTAACATCAACTACGCCCATCTGATGA